AAATAGTGTATTTATCAGTAGCAGTTAGATCCGTGAAGAGAGAAAAGATCTGCCTCAGACCGAGGGCTACTCCTAAGACTTTCAGATTTGCAGTTTAGATTTTTATTTGTGGATATAGTTAGAAAGTAAAGCCCTCAAACTTATTTCATCTGACAAAGACAACATATTTTGGTCTACCAGGAAGGGTGTCCAGAACTTAGGCCTTTTACTACAAAATACAAAGAACATAGAAGAAAGTGCCTCCACCAAAAGGCAAAGCAATATATGTCACCAACATTTCCTTGCCTGAGATGGATAGATAAGCACACAACAGAAGGAAAAACATTCAAACTGTACTTTGAGGCAGACCAAGCCCCTTTCCCACAGTAAAGTCTTTGTATATATACATCAAAAACAGATCCAACAATCCATTGGGGAAATCCAAGGTCAGTTTGCAGCCTTGACCAGAACTAGTGGGGACAGGAAGGTAGCTGTATGAGTGCAGTCCTGACAAGACTTGTCTTCCACATGACCAGGCAGTTCCTTACCCTGGTGGGTCCATGAGGGGCAGGGACAGGAAAGGACAGCCTTGTTTATGGGTATTCTGGGAGTGTCGCCAGTCCCCCTTACCCCACCCTGCCTTGACAGATGGTGGCCTCCTTGCCACTGTAAGTTGTTACATCTGCCCTTCCAAGAGTCAGGCCTGACCTTGAGATGAAGACTCCTCTTATATGCAGAGTTCTACCCTGTGATAATCAGCTAGATGCTGTCAAATCCTTTGCCAGACAATGGCTAGTGAAGGTGGCCAGTACCCTCTGTGGGCTCAGAATGTTGTAGAAGGGGCAAATCTTGTCTCTTGCTCCAATAGAAGCAACTCCAATGGGGTCTGTTGATGCTAGGAAACAGGGTTCTTAAAAGCAGTGCAAGAAGAAGGAAAGAACACCAGCCTGGGAGTAAGGAGGCTAAGTGTTAAGTTTGCTCTCTGGCCTTAGGTAAATTCCTTAACCTCAGGGTTGATTCTTATGGCTACAGTGATAACCTTTGCTCTAACTCACAGAACTGGAGCTGTGGGCAGCATCAGATAATAGATAGAAAGGGTAGTGTATGGGTTAATAATAAAAATAACTGCAAAATCACCACCATTACCATCAGGACTCTAAAGAGACCACACTTCTGTTCTGCCTCCTAGAGAGTGAGGAACATGCTTTGGGTCCTTAATGATGAAGGAAAAATGCAACTGTTTAAACATAGCCTTTGCTTATTAGACTTACAAATTAGTCCCTCCCCTTGGGCACTGGAAAACTAAATGGAAAGACCTATGAGGGAATGATACCTTAGAAACCACCCACAGTTAGTTAAATTGACCAATTATTTAGTTAAATTGACCAATTTTATTTAGAACTGTTTGGCTTTATTTTTGGCAAAAGAATACAGAGTGCATCAAAAGGTGAGCACAAGGGGACATCAGAACTCTGAAATCTAACCAGTCATTTCCAGGGCAATATTCTGGGGAGAAAAGCAAATAGAGAGCAATGTATATAATTCAATTTGGTTTCAGTCAGCAAAAGAGGAAATGTATTATTTAGCAAGGAAAGAAACAGTTGGTGTTAAGAGAATTGGGGTATTTTCAGTTATTTTGATAGAACACTGCTAAAGGAGCTTTCCTTCTTTGGTTTTTTTGTTCCTCAAGGGTAGCTCATTATGATACTGAGGTTTGAACGCAGGGTCTTACACTTGATAGGCTCTCTACCACTTGAGCCACTCCACCAGTCCATACCTTCTCATTTTAAACATAAGTGTGGCCACCAGAGGGGAAGGATTTGCTCAAGACCACGGAAGGGGATGGCAGGGGGAGGGGGTTGGTGGCAATGCTTGCTCTGGCCTTGCACCCACCAGTCCAGAGCTTGTTCCACCTCCTAATTGGTTCTATAGCAGTGCCTCCAGGGCCGAGGAGACAGTGAGTGGAAGAGGGCACCACCTCAGCCCACTCTGCTCTTTGCAGGCTCTTCTACTGGAAGGCTGCTTTGCTGAGCAGGGAGGGATCTCCCAGTGTGGCCTAGAAATCAAGGGCCAAAGGCTGAAAAGGCCATCTGCTGCAGTCAATTCCCTCCAAAGTGTTAACAGGCGAGAGACACAGCACAATGCAGGCAGTTACAGCCTGTGCCCAGCAAGTTTTATCACCTGCAGCTGCAGTCATTTGGGGCAGCCTGCTGTGTGCTGCCTCTCTCTTCCTCTATAGGTGGCCTGCTGTGTCAGAACGGCCCAGCCCTGCTCACACATAGTCCACCTGTGGGCGTCACCAGGTCTTTCAATCTGAGACTGTATGTGGTAGTGGATGTGAAACTACTGCTAATCTGTCATATTACTTTGGAGGCCAGTTGCCAACCGGCTGCCAAGGTCTATGAGGCTTTTTCTTGGTCCCACCTATTAAGATCTGCCTTGAGTGCCCCGTGCCCCAGACACTACACGAGTGACAAGTTAAGTTACACATGTCTAGGGACACTGGGCCTCACCATTCTGTGAAGAACAAAGACATTAAACTTCACAGGATTAAAAGTACAATCTGCTTCTCACTCCCTTGAACCACAATTCTAATTTAGACTTGCAGATAAGAGTGTTTTAGGCAGGAGATTCTGGGCCTCTGACATACTGGAGCCATAGCCCCTCTCAGAGGCCTCATCTGCATTCCAGCCCAGGGTGAGCTCCCAGCACCCACTCCTCTGGCACTCAGTCACAATGGGGGAATCTCAAGATACCACCCAACAAATGCCCACCCTGCAAAGAGGTAAAATGATTTTCTTCTGCACAGGAAATCTTATAATTTTATGTTCTTTTCCATATTTCTATGGCAGTTGCTCTCACCAAAACGAAACTTGCCCCCAGGGACCACTTACAATATCTACAGACAGTTATGACTGGATAATCCTTTTGACAGATAGTGGGAAAAGCCAAACAATACTGCCAACATCCTACAGTGCATAGGACTGCCCCCAACAAAAAAGAATAATCCAGTTTCCCAAATCAACAGTGTTGAGAACAAGAAACCTTGTATTAGAATAGTAAGTGGCAGAATGACTTCTTTACCTCCTATTGGTGATGCCAACAAACAGTAAAATATCTGACATGCCTGCTAAAGATAAGACAAAGGGTTTATTCAGGACCCCAACAGCCACAAGTTGACATTACCAAAGGCAGTCACTTACTCCTGCTTTGGGTTCACTCAAAAATATGCTAGGTGGCAATCTGGCATTCCCAAGATAGCAGGATAGGCTGCAAAGATCATTCTCCAACTGCTAACTTCTGACCACAAGGCAGCTGTTAAAAGGAGGCAGATGCACTCAAAGCTTAAGGTAGCTTGGCTACCCTGAATGGTAAGCCAAGTCAGGAAAACCAACCAGACTGCTCAAACAGCAGACAAACCCAGAGTACCTCCTGGCCTGGCCCTGCATGAGCACTGGGGACAGAGGTATGACAAACTGGCTGTTCTAGGGGGACATGCAATAGTAAACAATGACTAATCTTCACTCTTGGCTAGGCTGATCTAACCTCCATTTTCCTTTTAAAATCCTTCTGGGAAGGGAGAAAAACAATAAAGTAGAAAATAAAGCAGTGGAGCTCCGCTGCTGATTAAAATCTATATTGCTATGGCAGCCCCTTTGAGACGGGATCAGCGCCTGGGTTTGCACCAGCTGGGCTTGTGGAGCTTGTAAATAATTAAAAGGTAATTGGAAGGGGAGACCAAAGTATTAAGTGGATTTCTCTTTCTCAGGGCAACCAGGGAGTTTCATTGCTGCCAGTCACATTATCTTTCAGGATTATATTCTTGTTTTTTTACTAACACATGCAGCTTCAGATAACGGTCAGAGGAGTAAACTAATTAGGGCTGCCTAAACTGCTTTGATAGGCTTGGAGATTGAGGGGGAATGAGACTCAAAACTTTCGATTGCCTTTTTAAGCAAACCAGCAGTAACAGCCCTGCTATCAAGAAGGCAATAAGGCTTTGGAAGGTAAAGGAGGGAGGAGGAAGGAAAGGGGAAGAGAGTGGGAGGAGGAGGGAGGGATGGAGGAAGGGGGAGGGAGGGGGGACTGAGAAGGAGAGGAAGGGGGAGGGAGGGAGGGGGGACTGAGAAGGAGAGAAAGAATACTTAGGAATATTTAGCTGCTGGGAGCTGCCATTGTAGGTCACTCTAGGATAAAGAGAATTTCATTCCCAGGTTCAATAAAGTTGCTGACACAGACCTCAAGGGATGTATGATAAGATATCAGCAAGGTCCTAGGTAAAAAGCTGGTGGGAACAGCTTTCTCATATGGTAGTGATAAAGGTGGACCCACACAGAGGCTGAGGACCTGGTCAAGCTTCCGCAGTGGTGACCTGGCTGGTGAACCCATTGCTCTAACAAGATATAAAGCCAGGAAGTTGAATCACTAGGCTCAAGACTCAGCAGTGCCATGTTCCACAGAGGAGATGGCTACTGGGGTAGGATGGGGGCTGTGAGGAGAGGACAGAGATTTAGGAGGGTGCACTACAAAGCAGATGGCCATGTACTCTACAGTTAAAATTGCAGGAACGTTCCAACCAATCCAGTGAATGCAAAAATCAAACAACTAATGAATAAGAAGAAAAAGTTGGCTCTTCCTTTTCACATATCATTTCAGACTTTCTAAAACCAACTGAGGGGCCTCTATTTGTTCACTTACCTGTTCTTTATGAGCCTAGATATACCAACAAGAAGCTCCACACGCTAACTTAAGTGAAGCATATTTAAATTTAAAATGACTCCAGAGACCAGTTAATTAGGAGAGACAAAAATAAGGTAGGGCCAAAGCCATGTTTTGCCAAATTCCCCTCTGACCTCTTCAATCTAGTTGTCAATTATTCGGATAAATCCTGAACCAATCAGCGGTAAATGTCTCTCATTCCCCTGGACAATGACAGGTGGGAGAGGATGGATAACAGTGACTAGCACACAGTAGGCACTCAATAAATAAGCACTGAATTGGAACGATGAGAATGCACTCACCCCTCTTCTGCATAAAGATGAAGAGGTCATCCAGGAACGCTTTTCTTTCGGGATCACTGTCCAGTTCATATAGCTGCAATCCCAGCCCCAAGAAAAAAGCACAATGAAAATTCCATCTCACTGTAGAAAGTCTCCAAACATCCAGATAACTACAAATGCAAGTCAATGGCCACTCGTGGCCTTATCCTTGGAGGTCAGACACAACCCATTGCAGAACTTCCCTTATCTTTGTCACGAAAGATGTTACAGACCTTGGCAAAATCTCGAGAGATCTCTCTTCCTCGGCCTCCATCGGCATCATCACTCCAGACCGAACCACCATTCTGAAGGGAAACAAAACACAAGATTGACAGGGGAATAGGAAGAGAGTGAGGGAAGAGGGCAAGGCAATGGCGCAAGGGGAGACGATGTCCCTTGGCATCTGAGCCATCCTGGCTCACACAGGAAAGACTACTCAATGACCACCTCTACTGCTCTTCCAGGGACTTTTTTTCCCGTCAACTATGGTTTCAAAACAAAACGGGGTCAGCATAAAACAAGCTCATTTGTTAGAGAAGGCGGGTGTCGCACATGCTTTGATAATGCTGCAGAAGGAGAACACAGAGGCCTGCTGCTCCAAGACCCCTCTTCCTAGCTGACCTTCCCAAAACCACCACTCTGAGATACACTCGGTATAAAAACCTCAACCTGGCTCCCACACAACACTGAGGGGGTAAAAGCCAAAGGGAGAAGGACCAAGATCTTGATGCAGTGGTCCTGCCCCTTACTCTGTGTGCACGGAGAACTCCAGGAGCAATTGCTGGCTCAGAATTTAACATGCCCCTTGGGAATTATGTCGTCCCCACCAGAAGAAAGCTCTTTAAGAGCAAAGGTATCTTATTTGTCTTTGTATCCCCAGCACACACCACACTGCCTGGCATATAATTAATTGGCTATTTGAACCAACTAAAAACCTCTTTGAAAACAACACAAAACGCACATACCACATGGGAGAGTCAAACTCTCTGTGCCAGTGAGGAGTATGAAATCTCTCAGTGTAACTCTGCCACTCACCTCTGAGCCATGGCCCAGTGGATGCAATGACTCCCTGCACCTGTCACCTATTCTCCTTTCTCCCCTTGAACCAAAGGTACATGCACACACATCACCCAACTAGCTCGGGCGTGTAAGTGGTGGAACAGGAGCATGTGGGGCTGGGAGCAGAGATTTCTTGGGAGAACATTCTTTGGACTGTGTAGGGATCTTGTTCTAAAACCATGCCAAATAAAATGAGAGCCTTGGGGAGACGGCTCAAGTGCTTGCCCCAGCAAGCGCATGGTCCAGGTACTGGAGTTCAAAACCCGAATACCACAAAAATAAAATAAAATGAAAAAATAAAATGAGAGCCTGGCTGAATTCCACTTGTCCCACCTTTCCCCTGCCTGAAAGCAGGAACATTATTCTGCTATATGTCTGGGGCCATATTTCACTTCCCCTACTGAAAGTGGGCTCTGAGATGCAAATCCACTTCTCATCGGCAGCAATGCAGCATAGTGAGGTAGGGCTAACAGAGGAGAAGTGACATCCTGTCAGCTGAAATAAAACAGCTACACTGAATGGTTTCCCTGCTTATCTAGTAAAAGGTGTGTGTAAGGAAGTGCTTGGTAAAGGCTTTCTGATGATGCATGCATCAGGTCCAAGGCAAACACCGTTAGCACCCTTCCTACAGCACCTTTGGCTCAGGTAAGCCAATAGCCAAGAAGGAGGAACAGTGTAGTTTTTTTGTTAAACTCAACCTCACAATGTAATTACAGTCACCAGAAACCTAGTGTCATCTGGTGGCAACTAGCACAATGAATAATCAAGATGAATTATGCCTGTCAGGTCAGCAAAACCAGACAGAGTTACATTCCCCCTTTCAAAGGCTGCAGTAGCTTCCCTAATGCCCACTGATTTTGTTTGAGCCAGTAATTCCTGCTGGAAAGTCAATTACCCTGGGAGCCCCTATGGGCTGAAAGACATATAATGTGGGGATGTTGCTGCTTGTGTTATGTCAGCTGTTTACTGTGGCAGCTCATTTCCAACTCTACAGCCAGAGATCCGAGGCTGATGCTGTTCACAAGAGGGTTCTTTATCTTTCACTGGTCACCAGTCACAGGGAGATGAAAACACATGGGTTTTGGCTAATTACAGTAGCTTGCAAGCATTCTGAAGGTTCACTCAGAAATTACTCAACACTCAGTGGGGTGGAGAGGTCTGAATCCACAACTTAGAACTGGCCAGAGCTTTCCACAACAGGGGAGGAGTGTGAGAACAAGCACACCAGTGTGACCACGATGGGGCTATGTGTGAAAATAAACACCCAAGTGTGAGCTCAGCTCCAGGGTCAGAGAGAAGAATGCCTGGGGAAGGGGAAAAGGCTGGGGCCCAACAGGCCTCCTCTCTCTAACTCTTCCCAAACTGCAAGGAATTCTGAACACTGCTATAGCCATGAAGTGGGAAGCACTCACTTAAAAATCTGCTTGATGCTGGACACCAGTGGCTCATACCTGCAATCCTAGCTACCCAGGAAGTAGAGATCAGGAGGATCAGGGTTCAAAGCCAGTGCCTGACTAGCAAACATGAGACTTTAAGTTCAGACCCAAGTGTTGCCAAAAAAGAAACAAAAATCTGCTTGATGACAGGATTTTAACTGGAAACATCTCTAACTTGGTTACCCACAGAGGCCACGGTCTCTGGCCAGAAGAAGACAAAAATAAGATACTGCAATCCACAGAAAGCAGTCATTCCACAGAAAATAACTATCAGTTTAAACAAAATGTAGGGGAAGTAGTTAGCCCAGGGCGGAGATATCTTTTGTCCAGTTCCAGGGCAAGGATGGTCCATTACTTAATTCAAAATACTCAGTTGGGGCTGATGGAGAAATGTCTAAAATGCACTGCTTTCTTTGTTTGAGGCAGTTAAACTTTGATCCTGCTTTGCAGGGTTTTCTGGCTGAGGTGAGAGTAATTCCTGAACCCTGCCCGCCCTTCACAGTCCAGCTGGGCCAGCACCTCCCCTCCATGAGGCCTCCTGGCTCTGCCTACCAGGCAGATTCAGCCTTTTTCTCATATGGGCTCTGTCACTTCATGTTCTTGTTACTTGTGTCCCTACATCCCCAGCCCCCAGCTCCAACACACACCTGTTGAGAGACAGGGAAGGTCTCCTTTTCACTGTAAGGGCTGCAGGATTAAGCATTTATTTTCTTGGTTCTCAACTCTAGTCAACGTGGCTCATTTACACAATTTAAGTTTATGAGCAGGAGGTTTCTTAGCCTATTAACTGGGTGTGAGTATGACTAACCAGAAAGTTAGCAGCTCCAAAATAATTTTTCATGGATTCTGGGTGTGACTGACAAGAGGCTGCAGTGGTGGAAGAAAACAAGGAATGGAGGAGGCAGATGGGATATGGGCAAATATGCAAAAAGAGATAGCTCAGTATTTTCCTAATCAAGAGGGGTTCATAGGAAAGCATTTCAGCTGAAGAGGTGCTGGGAAGAGGTTTGTTACCCCATCTGCAGTGGTAATCTTTTTTTCTAGCATATATTTTTGTTTATTTATACATACAAAAATGTCCGACAGTCACCTACTATAGTGCCAGGCACAAGGCAGCAGTATTAAAAAAAACGAGATGTGTGTGTGGGAAGTCAGCAGTATGGTCACTTACTGCCATTTATAGCCTCCTCAGCCACCCCTACCTTCAGAATTCTCTTTTGACATCTTTGATCTCACCAGGAGCTCACAGGAAAGTGACAGTTTGTTCCCACATACCCACTCAAGACTAGCTCTGGCTACTATCCCCACATTCAGCTCATTTTCCCCAGGGAAGCCACAGTGAAGAGGACTGGGGAGGAGAAAGGTGAGGAGGAAGCCAGCGTTGGCCTGTTAAGTGTCAAGGACTGGGTCAAGAGCCTTAGAAGCATTTTCCCACTTAATTCTACAAGGTAGAGGTGGCTATTTTAGATTTGAGGAAATAATGGCTCAAAGAACTCAAGCCGGCTGATGGGTGGCTCAAAGTGGTACAGCGCCTGCCTGGCAAGTGTGAGGCCCCGGGTTCAAACCCCAGCACCACAAAAACAACAATAAAAAACAAACAACCACAAAAAACTCAAGCAACCTGCCCACGCTTTCAGAGCTTCTAAGTGGCAGCACCAGAAGTCAAACCCAGGTCTGTCTGGCTTAGGATACCATGGTGCCTCATGGGTGAAACAGTGGAAAGGAGAGAGGGAGAAAAACACAGAATGCCCAAGTCATGGCCCTGGGTGGCTCTCCTTAATGGGAGACTTTTTCATTCCTCAATTTGTCTCATTGGCTGCTTCATCTGGGTAATTCAGTCAAACAAAAACCATCCCTCAAACAATACTTCTCCTGGAAGAGTTATCTGGAGGTACCGAAAAGGGTAAACTTAATTCCTACCTCCACACATTCTAGGATGAGCCTCTGTCTTCCCCTAGGTGATGGAGGATCAGGAGAGGAGAAGGGGAGGGAGGGACCAGAGGAATATGGCACCTCGCACTGTGACATGTACATTTAAAGTCCTAACAACAACAAAAAATCAAATTCTAACTAACATGCCTGTTACCCAAAATGAAAATAGTGCTTTTCCAACATCTCAACCCTAGATCAACAAAGCAGAGGGGAAATGAACAGATTCACTACATTTGAAACCTATAAGGCTGCCTGTGGAAAAGGAGCCAGGCTCCCCACCCACCTGTTCTCTAAAGCTTCACTGGGCAAAACTAGGGTGGCTGGAGAAAACTGGCCAGTAGGAAGACTTCAGTCTTAACACTGTCTACTAATGGAGTGAGCCTTCTCAGGAGGTGGGCAGCTTCCTGTCTCTGAATGACCATCTGTTTGGGATGGGGACTACAAAATGAGACAGGGTTGAACAACATGGCCTCTAGGGGCCCTTTTTCTCCCTGAGAAGAAAAGATCTGATGACAAAGTCATTCAACACAAATATCCTGCGGACCCACCGGAGGTAGAGCATTGGGCAACTGCAAAACACTGTGGGTCTCACCACTGAGAGTTTTCCCTCAGAGTTGGAAAACACATTGAAAATGCCTGGGAGGTAGATGAAAAGGCTGGGTGCTCAGAGGTGGAGGTTAAGCTGGCCTTGAAGAATGGGCTGAGGGGAGATTTAGAGTTTAAATGAACAGAGCAGGGGACAAACAAGGCATGTTTTGGCAGGGAGAATGTAAGGATAGCAAGTCTGAATAGTTAAGGTGGAAACAGGCTGTGAAATGCCTTAAATACCAAAAGGAAATTTAAACCCTGAACTGTGAACAGTGGTGAGGCAGTGTTTT